CTGCGGCAGAATTTCTGTTTGTAACTTCTACCTGTTGGTCCTGGGTCTGCCTTCTATCCCTCTTGCCCTTCAGAAAGTTGAAAACAGCAATCATTTAACATCTAGAGGGTTCTTTTAGCCTAAACTCTCCAGCTCCTTCACCTGCTCGCTATATGAGAGAGAATGTTTCCAGACCCCACCTCCTTCTGGCTGGTCTCTTTGGGCATTCCCCAACTGGACTGGGAGCCTCTTAAAATGTGGCATCCAGACAGGAAAATCTGGCTACAGGCACCTTCTGATTGGAGTATTCAATCAAGTGTTTGGGAAAATGCCTTGGTTACCAAATCACCATCTCATGCCTCAGAGATCTGCTGTTAATATCTTCATCTTCTGGGGGTAAGGAAGGGCAAACAAGCCCACAATCTATTTTTAAGTCATATGATGAGGGGCAGAGGCCCTTAATTTTCCCGTCTGAGTCTCCAACCTCTGACCTTTTGGAGCTAGCGGGCTTTCTCTCTTTTTTGGAAAATGTTGACATCATACACAGAACAAGATGTTACTGAGAATAGTGAATGAAGGACATGGCAAAAATTATTAACAATCCTCTATTACAGTGATTCCCACACTTCCACATGCATCAGCATCACCAGGAGGGCTTGTTAAGGCAGATGGCTGGAGCTCACTCCCAGAGGTTCTGATGTGGCGATTCTGAGGTGGGGCTGAGAATTTACACTTCTTAACACGTTCCCCAGTGACGGTGCAGGACCACTGAGAACCACTGCTCTATTACATTTCCTGGCTGCTTAGGCTCTTGTATTATGAGTTTCCAGAAGGCTTTAAGTTAAGAGAGGGAGGAGGAGGAGAAACTCACATCTAATGTGTATACTTGTACCAGGAACAGTCATATACATAAGCTAATTTTATTTTAACGGTGCTATGAATGTAGACTCAGTATGCTCCTTTGAAAAATAACGACACTCACAGAATTTAAGTCACTTGCTTACAGTCACATGGTGCAGATCTGGAATTGGAGCCCAGGTCTGTCTGAGCCCAAAGCCCCGTCCTTCCCTACCTGCCACACTGCTTCTTAAGCTGTCAGCTGGGCCAGAATGCCAAAATCACTCATGATTAACACACACACACACACACTCCACCCTTGAAATCCTTTTGCTTGAATGGTATGTCAGAAAGATAAAATACATTTCACATACACAAAAAATGGTCTTGGAAGAGGGTGAAGATAACATGGGATTTTTTCTCTACTGCGTGTCACTTACTGTTTGTAATCATGCTTTCACAATTAGCTTAGTTAACGTGTCAATTTCTAATAATAGGCTCCCCATGGAGGTTGCCAAAAGCCACGTGTTGGAAGGAAGCATATCGGGATTGAAAGGAGCCAGTAATGATAGATAACAAGGAGTTAACCTGCCAAAAACTGTATCCTAAATATCAAACAGGCACATTTTGGAGTTTTTTGGTTTTGAGAAAGGGTTTCCAATGTTATTATTGTACAAATTCTTTTTCTTCCTCAGAAATGCATTACAATGGATGAACCTTGAAAACATTATGCTAAGTAAAAGACGTCAGTTACAAAAGATCACATATTGTATGATTCTATTTACATGAAATATCCAGAATCTATAGAGATAGAAAATAGATTAGTGGTTGCTTAGGGCTTGGGGGGCTGGTGGTATAGGAAAGTGAGAGTTAAATGGTTTGGGTTTTCTTTTCATTTTTTTTTTAAAGATTGGCACCTGAGCTAACATCTGTTGCCAAATTTTTTTTCTTCTTCTCCTCCCCAAAGCCCCTAGTACATAGTTGTCTATTCTAGTTGTGGGTCCTTCTGGTTGTGGCATGTGGGACGCTGCCTCAGCATGGCTTGAGGAGCGGTGCCATGTCCGTGCCCAGGATCCGAACCGGCGAAACCCTGGGCCGCCAAAGCAGAGCGTGGGAAGTTAACCACTCGGCTATGGGGACGGCCCCAGGTTTCTTTTGGAGGTTATGAAAATGTTACAAATCAGACTCTAGTGACAGTTGCACAACTCTGTAAATATGCTAAGAACCACTAAATTACACACTTTGAATGGGTGAATTCACCCATGGTATGTGGATATTATATATCAATAGAGCTGTTACCAAAAAAAAGCACATTACATTTGAAAAAAATGTTAAATATCCATTACACATGGATGTTTGTAGTTTTGGATTTTTTCAACATAAACAATTATTTTAGAGGTGAGAGCTATGGAATTTAGGTTCAGCTAGGTAGGGCCAATTGAGGGAAAGTGGAGTGCCATGGCTGACTAGCATTGCTGCCTTGATGTGGGAAGTGAGATGGGTACTTGGAGCTTCTGCCACAGGAGCTGCAGATGTACGGAAAGAATCGTCAACAGGAGGTCACAGTCCTGACAAGGGGTGGGGGTTCGAGGCAAATTGCAGGGACCGAACAGGCATGCTGGAGTGCCTAGCTGGGCCTTCAGCAGAAGCCCAGCCATACGAACTGTGGCATGGAGGGGCTGCTGGGGCACCTGGGGCCATGCATCCAGGTAGGAGGAGCAGCAGCACATCTGGCTGAATCCCAAGGGCCATGTGGGGCTGGTCTGGGTAAAGGACTCAGGCTGCAGGGCAGCACCGGGCTGCAGCAGTGGCTGGATGAAGTGGTCCGGCCTTCTCAGAAGAGTTGAGTCCACTCAGACTCTCCAGCTGGGGGCCACCCATGGTCACCCATTTGATTCCCAGGGATGTTAGCCCATGGCCTTACCAGGATGTGTCTTCATCCCTGGCTGTGTGAAGGGAAGAAAGAGAACCAGGGAGAAGGAAGTAACTGTCCCAGTCAAGTCCCTCTTAACCACTGAGGGTGCCATTCCCTATATCTGTTCAACTCAACATTACTTATGCCAAAGACCGTGACAGGGCTGGGGATACAAAGACCAAGAAACAGTCCCTGCTCTCAAGGAGTTGATAGTCTAACGGGGGAGGGTAACTCATAAGCAGGTCGTTTTCCACATAATGATCACATCCTACCACATCTGCTCATCACCATGTGTTCAGGTTGGGTTACAGGAACTGCTTCTAGGGGACTCAACTTAGGACATACATCTGCGGCAACAACTAAAAAAGCACACACTGAAATGTTGTTTAGCATACTTAATATTGCACAGAAATTAAAATATCGATACTTTCCATAAACATTACTCAAAGGACAAGAATGTTCTTGGATGGATTGACAGTTACATTTTCTAAACAAGACCTTGTAAACACAGCTAATATGAAAATTTCTCCAGTTAACACAGTTCTTCATATCATCAATGGCAAAAGATGTTAAGGTGGCATGTTGGGCCAGCAATAACCACATGCTTGTTATATAAAATTGGATCTTTGATGTCAAGACTTTAGTCTTCCACAGCATCTTTATTCTCAAGGAAGTGTGACATTTTGGATTCAACCTGAATGCATGGTGACAGGCAGATCTGATGGGATATGATCCGATTTCAGGGTTAAAAATACGTTGTTTAAAAAACTGTATTTAAACCGTATCACTCTGAAATTTGGTTTAAATAAACTGTGTTGCACTAACTATTTTATTTTTATCATACATGAGGTCACATTAATATAGTAGGGAGGGAGCCCTGGATTCCGATCCAGACTCCGTAACTCAATATCCAAGTCACCCAGACAAACTGTACTCTCCCTGGGGCTCATTTGCCACATTTGTTTAAAGAGGAAAATAAGAAGTTGCAGAGGAAAGGGAGAGGCTTTGGCTAACTGATCTCAAATAGCCCTTCTAGGGAAATTCTATTAGGTTGAGTAAAGGCCATTTAATTTCACCATACACATCTGTGCACAGTAAACCAAACTGGTATTTTACTTTTGAATTAAGAATTTTAGTACTAAAAAAGAAAAAACCAACAAACCAACAGCACCCCTTCTGAACCCATCTGTAGCTCTAACATTAGGAATTCAAATTGGAGTATTTTTAGCCTCTGGAGTTTAAGCTAGCTCTTAACCTGAGCCCCTGCCTGCATTTTATGATTTGGTTAATTTAAGTCATAAAGCAGTTCCATCTTTGACAAGAAAGCAAAATCATTTTACTAATATTTTTAAGCACTTCAAGAATTACTTCTAATTGGAGACCTCCTAAGTACCGTTGGCATACTGGGCAGAACATGATAGAATTTTATCCTTCCTTGGACTTTTTTTTTTCTGTGAAATACAACTACAACTGTCAGAAATGCAAGTTATTTCAGATGCCCTCAAAAGGTTCACTTAAAACAGATTGCCAGAGAGGCTGCATGAGAAAATAGAAAAATCAATTCTAGATGAAAGCGAAACACTCAGAAGCTCCCAGATTGGCCAGAAAGAACAGTCACAGTAATCATTTAGTTATTTAAGAGGAAGATGGAGGAGACGGAGAAACGCTTTCCTAATGTTTCAAGATTGCGGTGGTTTAAGCCCTCATTTCTGTGCTGGGTGCATCTTATAAAAATAACTTCATGAGGAGGGGCCCTACGAAACTCCAGCCTCTACCGAGCTTGCAACCTCACTGCCCGTTATCTTGTCACGGCGTTGAAGATGGAGCAGGCAGTAATCAGATCAGAGCCTGAAAGTCAGGGAGAGACACTGGAACGAATTATTTTCTTAAAGGAAGTGGTCATTCAAAGGCAGAAAACCCAAGTCACCCACAATTTCCTTGTCCACTTTGCCAAGGGATGGGCCGGGCAGGGTCCGAGGACAGAAAGGGAGGACTGTGCTGAGGTCGGAGAGCGGGGTGGGAGCCAATTCCCGACCGCGGAACGTGAGCCAGGCCAGCCCGGGAGAAGGGCGCAGCGCAGGCCCAGCATCCCGCCCGCCCGGGTGAGTCCAGGTGAGGGCCTGTCACCGAGCGCGGCTGGCGGGGAGCCCCGCATTCATCCGGGCGCGGTTGCGGCCAGCGGCTCCTCAGCGCGCAGCGGCCTCCAGGGTGGCAGCGCGCAAAATCGCCGCTTAATCCCCGCTCCCGCTGGGTTAATGAGGGCCTCCTCAAAGCACAAAGTGTCGAGCTAGGGGCTTCTTTCCCAGACGCAGGGGCACCGGGAGCCGACGTTCCTCTGGCCCAGCCGGGCGCCCTTCCTCGGACGGCGATTTGCGCCTCCCCAGTGAGCGCTCCCCCGCATCCCCAGCCGGGTTCCCGGGACCCCTGGTGACCGGCGGCCTGTCGGGTCACTGGAGTCAGGTCCCCTGGCCTCGGGTCGCGGCCAGCAGCCGGGGCGCGGGGCGGGGCGCGCCAGGGAGGCCGAGGCGGCGCGCTATTCCTGTCGCTGTGAGCTACCGGCATGTTATGTGCGGCGCCCAATCACGCCTCCGACCCGCCGAGCCGACCCGCGCCCCCCCTCCTTAATCCCGTAGGCTTTGATTTGATCCTCCGCGCGGAACAAGCTCACCTCCCCCCTGCCCCGTAGCCAGTCGTCCCCCGCCCTAGCGGGTGCCCGCAGAACCCGTCCTCTTCGTCCACCCCAGGGAGGTCAGAGCCCTCGCCCCGCGCTCCCGGGACGCCCCGAGCCGGGCCACGTCTGCGCATCTGGGCTGTCGGAGATCCAGCACCCCCTGAGTCAGTCCACCCGCAGCTCGGTCCTTCCAGGTGATGGTGCGCGGCCACTTCGGCCCCTGGCGCGCAGGTGTGGGTTTCCCAAACTGGGCCGGGGAGGGGGCTTTGGGCAACGCGCTGGCAGCCTCCGAAACAAAACCCTGCACCCCCCGGAAGACTCCAAACTCCGTGCTCTCCGCTACTAGGGGCTTCTGGAAACCGTTCCGCGACCGGGTTTGCTCTGAGAGGGGTACGGGGAGATCTGCGCACCTGGATGAAGGAGCCCTGGGCTTTAAGCTGAGCAGGCAAAAATGGGCCCTTGCTAGGGACTCTGCGGCTCAAGCGGGGGGCCCGGGAGCGCCGTGCCCCGGGATGCCTCCGGCCGCGCCCGGCTGGCCCCAGCCCCAGCCCGGCCGCTTCCCGCCCTGGGCATCATGAGTTACTTCCTGTCTTACTGCAAAGCTCACGGCGGCGCGCTGCTCACCGGCTACCAGGCCCTGCGCGCCGAGGGCTTCTTGTGCGACGTGACGCTGGAGACCGAGGGCAGCGAGTTCCCGGCGCACAGGTCGCTGCTCGCGTGTTCCAGCGACTACTTCAGGGCCCTGTTCAAGAGCCACACTCGGGAATCCCGAGCGAGCGTGATCCACCTGCACGTGCCGTCGGCGGCCGGCCTGCAGCGCCTGCTGGACTTCATCTACACCGCCTGGCTGCCACTCTCCATGGACACCGTGGAGGACACGCTGGAGGCCGCCAGCTACCTGCAGGTCACCGAGGCCCTGGGGCTGTGCGGCCGCTACCTGGAGCGCCAGCTGGGCCCGGAGAACTGCTGCTTCGCCGCCAACGTGGCGGCGCGCTTCGGCTTGGTGCACACGCTGGGCGCCGCCGAGCGCTGCATCGTGCGCTACTTGAGGGAGCTGCTGGCGCGGGGCGCGGGCCCCGCGGGGCTGCTGGAACTCAACCCCGCGTCGCTGAGGGCCGTGCTGGGCGCCCCCGACGTGGCGCGGGTGCCGGAGGCCCGGCTGCTGGGCTTGGCGCTGGCCTGGCTGCGGCAGGAGCCTAAGGCCGAACGCCTGGCTCACTGCGCCGCGCTGCTCGAGCGCGTCCGCTTCGGCCTGGTGCCCGCCGACGTGCTGCGGCGGGTGTACTCGGGCTCCGGCATCGCGCTGCCCGCCCGCGTCAAGGGCCTCATCATCCAGGCCCTCAACTACCACACGGCGCCCTCCCGCCAGCCGCTCGTGCAGGGCGAGCAGACCAGCGTCCGGAGCCCCCAAACCCGTATCTTGTTAGTCGGGGGGCGCAGGGGGCCGGAGGTGGTGATGGAGGAGGTCGCGGCCCCACGAGGGGGGGCAGCCAGGGGAAGGGGAGCCGCGGCGGAGCCCGAGGAGGAGGAAGAGGAAGAAGAGGAGCAGCTGGAGGAGGAGGAGGAGGAGGAGGAGGAGTGGGAGCTCACCCAGGACGTGGTGGCCTTCGACGTGTACAACCACCGCTGGCGCAGCCTCACGCGAGTGCCTGCACCACTCCTGGGGCACAGCGTGTGCGCCGCCGGCAACTTCCTGTTCGTCCTGGGCGGGGAGAGCCCCTCGGGCGGCGCCTCGTCTCCCCTGGCCGACAGCCCGCGGGCGGTCTCAGCCCAAGTGCACCGTTACGACCCGCGCTTCCACGCTTGGACAGCAGTGCCCGCCATGCGGGAAGCGCGGGCCCACTTCTGGTGCGGCGCCGTGGGCGAGGGGCTCCTGGCCGTCGGGGGCCTGGGCGCGGACGGCGAGGCGCTGGCCTCGGCGGAGATGTACGACCTGCGCCGGGACCGCTGGACGGCGGCCGGGGCGCTGCCGCGGGCGCTCCATGGCCACGCGGGGGCCGTCGGGGACCGCGGCACCGTGTACATCTCGGGGGGCAAGGCAGGGAGAGGCGAGGGCGGCGCGAGCAGCCTCCGGGACTTGTACGCTCTGGGCCCCGGGGAGCGGGCGTGGAGTAAGAGGGCGTCCATGAGCACAGCCCGCTTCGGGCACCACATGGCGGCCCTGCGTGGCGCGGTGTTCGCTTTTCTGGGGCGCTACGAGCCCTTCTCCGAGATCGAGCGCTACGACCCCGGCGCGGACCAGTGGACTCGGCTGCGGCCGCTGCCCTACGACCGCTTCTGCTACGGGCTGGCGGTGGTGGAGGAGACGGTGCTGCTGCTGGGCGGCCTCAAGTGGCGGGAGTCGCGCCAGGTGCCTACCCGCAACGTAGTGGGCTATGACCTCGACCTAGACCGCTGGGAGGACATCGGCTGCCCACTGCCCTGGGCCTGGAGCGGCCTGCAGTGTGCAGTGCTGCAGCTGGCCGAGGGAGGGGACGAGGAGAGGGAGGGAGAGCCTGGAGGGGCGCCAGATTTAATGTTGGGTTTCATGGGTTAGGGCAGTCTCCGGACCATGGAGGAGAAAGTCGCGCTTGACCAGGCTTTCAGAGCAACACGTGAGCTTTTCCTAAGAATGGGACTCTGGGAGCAGAGTGGCTTCTGAAGGTTAAGGAGGCAAACAAGGGCTTGGCCAAAGGGGAACATTTCCCCTTAAGCTGAGAATGGGAGACAGGAGAGGTCAAATAGAAGGATATATGAATCAGCTTCAGTGAGCTGGGGATTTCTATAAGTTCTCATGCTGGGCTTTTGAAAATAAAATATGACCCTATTTTCCCTCTAGGTGCTAAATAGTGATTACTTTTGTGCCAAACAAACAAACGGCCAAAAAATATACCCTAAGAAGTTACATATAAGACCCAGAAAATTGTTAGCTATAAAGACTGTAATAAATAGTTGTAGAAGATGGCATTATCTGAATAAGTACTGAAGAGAATGTGCCTTGGTTAAACAGCATGAGATCATTGTAAGGGAGACTATGATTTTATAATTCCAGAACCATGGTTATAGTTCTGCTCTGATGGTTTAATATAAGTATGGAACTGAGAGGGAAAAAAATCTCTAAGACAGCACCTTTTTGGGGGGGGCGAGTAGCCTAGGTTAAGTTTTTCTGTCCCTCATCCTTACTTACCCCTGGTCTACTTTTGCCCTGGCTTTAGGCAGCTCGTTGGTTTTAAGTTTTATTTCAGCAAGCCTTATTCCATAATAATCAAGCTCCTCTGGTTAAGTGGGACATCTAAGAAAAACAAAACCAAACCCTATTTTTGCATCCTCTTTAAATGTTCATTCTGCAGACATGCTGTAGGTTGTATTTGTAAAAAAAATTAACTTATTTTTGGCAGTTCTTTCCTCCCCCTCCCCCAATTCCCAAAAGAATCACAGAGAAAGGAAAGAGGAGTAGGTGAAATTTTAAAGTTCATGTCTAATAAATGGGGAACCAGCTTCATTTTGCGGGGTCTCAGAGAAGGTACTTATATACACTGAACAGGTGCTGCTTCTGGCTTGTACCAGCAATGGAGTGGTCACTGGGGGAATGGCGGCTGTGTGATTAGGTCACAAAGAAATGTGGTGAGGACTGTGCATGAATAAAGTAGGTGCTTTATAAAGATTCATTAAGAGCTGAATTTATTTGACTTCAGTTTACAGTGCTGCCTCTCTCCTAGATTTGAAACTAATGCAATAAAATATACAGATATATAGTTAAAAGGTTTCTTTCATGCTAGGCTAGCCACGAGTCTTTAAAATTCATTAGTTTAATTTTTACCATTTAAAACAACAGAGCCAACTTTACAAAAGTAAAAGCTGCTTAGTAGCAACATAGCTAGTCTCTCCATCAACTGCTCACTGTTTACAGGGCACAACCTGGCCACTGTATCCATGACACATCCATCAGGTACAGATATTTTTAAGTGAATGTACACATTAGGTCTAGTAAACATCAACAAGTCTAACACCTGTAACAAGCACACTTCATTTCAGGACAAGAGGTTTTTGTTTTCTGTTTTTTTTACATATACAAAACCCCACAAATTTAATGTGTCAATATCCATGCAGTAAATAAATGTTTTTACAAATAGACTTTTTTAAATGATAAAAATATTACACTGGACCCAAAATTCCATACAAACATTAATACATGATTTCTCATCCATTTTAACTAAATATAGGATTACTGAAAATGTGCTGTAGAAAGGCCACTCTCCTGTACAGTTGTGCAAAGTCTGCAAAACGATAGTGATTCAATGGTGGTTTCAAAAGCAAAGAAAAAGATCCCCGCTGTGGAGTTTTTCCTTTCTCCTCTACAGCAAAAATATTCACTGGCATATATCTGAACTCTTAGAGATGAAAGTACATTCACTGAGCTGTACAGGCAACAGTATAAAGCTGATTAGAAGTAGATTTTAGGATATAGGATAGTAAAGGAGGGTCCCTTCCTCCTCCTAAAAAAACCCCAGTAAATTGTGACTTGTACATTATGCAGCCAGACACTAAAAAGCAGCACAGTCATTATCATGCTGTGATCACTTTCAAAAACGAGATGCTTATAAATGGAAATATATGAAGAGGACTTTTTCATAGACTTCATCCACTCTATAGAACAATTCAGGAAGCTAGGAAAAAACCTCTATAAATTGTTTCTCTCATACAGTTCAATGTAACAGATCTCTGAATGACCATGATCCTCTTGCTCCTCAGGAGAGAGGTACATTTTTATTTTTCAACATTGTTTTCTATATTATAACACACATCGGTCTGTAACTAAACATATTTTACTTCCCTGCCTGAAGTATAACCTATATAAGTTTAATTAATGGACTGGGGGAAAATTGGAAACTGGAAAGTTGATTCATTTCAGTTTCTACCTTGTATTTTAAGAGTCGAAGTTTAAAAACATGATTTTGGGCTGAAATTATATATATATATATATCTGTTAGCTGCCTTTCCGGGTGAATTAAGTGTGTTTTAAAAAATCCACTCTCAAATTCCTCTGTACACAATCAGCATTTCATCACTACAAAAATAAAGGAAGATTTAAACCAAGAAAATAAAGCAGCTCTATCTTCAATTTTGGTCTCAGTTACAAAACATCTTACAAAGCTTTGCCCTGATACACCATTAAGTGTCCCCATAGATTTGGAATAGTATTTCTATTAACCAGCTTTCACAAGTTAATAGACTATTAAGACAAATATTAGATACCTGAACTTTTCTTATGTTGATGCTCTTCTATTTTGCTTAACTCTTGTATGCGCATCTACATTTCACAAAAATAAAACTACAGCATTAAACTTTGTGCAATGTTTAAGAAAATTCTTAGAACATTTTAATAAATATAAAAAAGGTTTAAATTCTTTCCCACCCACAAGGATGTCTGCACCTGAAAAAATGTGATTTATTTTTGAACTCTTGTTTATATAAAATTAACTTAAAGGGAGAAAAGATGACCTTAGATAGAAAACTGCCTTTTTGTGGTTTTACTACTTGAAGACCACCTGTTTTCAGAGTTTGCAAAAGTTAATTTTAAGTCATTGAAGACAGTTGATTTTGCACATGGTAAACATAAGCTGAGCACTAATTGCATATAAAATATACAAATGCTCTTTAAAGACACTGGCATTATGACCATATATGGTTTGTTTCATATAGTTTGGTAACATTAAAGAATAGCTTGTCAAGTGTCCCACACATTGATATAAAAACTACCTTATATACTTGTTCAAAGTACCAGAAGGCAGAATACACTTACACATGCGTTTCAATGTATGAATGAGTGTGTGTTAGAGAGGAAGTGATTACATCTACTTCAGAAGAAATACTTAATGGGTCATTTGGGGTGGTGTTTTGACAGATATCCAAGAAAAGATCAAGGTACATCTGCTTCCATTGTTGGAATTCTTTAGATGTCAAGTCTGGATTGTCTAGGACTTTATCAATAATGGCTACTTCCCCTTCTCTGGCCTGAAAAGCAAAAGGATTCAACAGTTAAGATGTAGACAAACTTTTATTCAAGTTTAAAATAAAGAGTTAATAGGCAAAAAATTAAGAAGCCCATAAGAAACAGCTCTGGTGTACTCAAACTCAGCTATTTAGACTCAAATTCCAGTATACTTTTTTCTACACCCAAGGTATGCCTCATATTGCCCACTCTGTGTGGTTTATTTTTTCTCTTGGCCTGTCCTGTTTCCCATCTCTGCCTATGGAAACTTTCCTGCGTCATTCTTTAAAGATTCAGTTCAAATTCCTCTCATTTCATGAAGCCTTCCTTTAAGGATTGGGAAAAATGTTTCCTCTCTCATTTATGTCCCCATAACACTATCACTGCCATTGAGTGGACTTACCACATTCTATCTCTTGAGTTACTTTTGCACTGTTTCATCTGTCCTGCTAGATGGTTAGCTCCTCATGCTTGCATGAGAGAGAGCAATGGCCCTCCTGTCAGCATAAACACATAATTCTTGCTGTGTGAACGTTATGGCTCCCTTCCTGCAGCACCGGAGGCCTGCAATACAAAATATCCCTCCCTTCCACGCTGGAGGTCGGCTGAAGAGTGAACTTGCTTATGGGATAACTCACCACAGCACAGCTATCGCCTGTTGGAGGAGTGAGTCTCCCAGGTGGGACGGCGGCGTGGCGGAGAGCGTAAGACAGTCTGAAAAGCTCAGTCCTATCTTTTATGGGCCCAAGGAAGGGGCAGGAAGTTTAGGGAACGTTCTGCAGGAAGTGGGAAGGCACAATTCCGGGCAAGCCAGAGTTGGGAGGGAAAGACAGTAACGTGCCTAAGCAGTTGTTCTGGTCCTTGGGACCAGACAGAGACAGTGGGGCTGGGACTGAGGATGTTCTGAATGGCCTTGTGCTTGCTGAGGGTCCTGTTACAATTCCAGGAACTATATATGCATCCATGGTTGCTTGGGCGATTGTCCTTCCCTAATGGGAGATTTTCATTCTCTATCAATTTCCCAGGCTAAAAAGCATAAGGCTCTGTAATTAATTTCACCAACGAGGGGAATTTCTTTATAGTGACTTTTCGTCCTCTTTGTTTGTCACAGAGAGTGGAGCACAGTGTCACATACCTGGTGATTCATCAATACTTATTGAACTGAACATCGGCAGGAGCTCATATTCTTTGCTACTGGAAGAAAATGCTTTTGGGGAATCTACAGAGCATGAAAGACAGGGTTGTGGGGCTGAGAGAGAGGGACAGGAGCAAGTCTCTAAAATACTTGAGCCTGACCTGCTTCAAAATGCCTGCCTGCTTTCATAACCAGGCAGTTTCGACCTGAGTGAGGGTGGGGGGAGGTGGGGTTCTGTAAGGTGAGAGAGTGAGGAGATCTTTGGAGTAGGGTTGGTCACTGGAATAATTATTCTTATGAATATTATAGCTCTTTTAAACATTCTAGTCTTAGTTACCAAAAGGCCATTAAGTTGTCCCATTAATTTGCATGAACACCAACTGAAAGCTAACTGACTCTGCTATTGGAAATTTTTCCAAATCATGCTTTTCTATTTTGTTTCTCTCTTTGGTACTCACCTATGTTTCAAAACCACAAAACCTCAGCAGCATACTATGGATCAGAAATATTTCCCAAAGGAGCCCTTTGACCTTTTGTTTCCCAAAATGACTGCGTAACATACTCTGTATGACAGTTCTTTCCTGTTTTTGATTGTTTAAGGATGCAGGGCCTGCTTAGGGAGAGTTTGTGTGGCAAGCCCTCTCCCCCTCACCCACACACACTGAGGGGGCTCACTTTTCTGCTTCCTTCTTCAACCTCCTGCCTTTCTGCTCCCCTCTCCTCCCCAGTCTGGGGCTGGCATAATAGGAAGACTGGAGACAATGTGAGCACTCATGGAAATGTATAATAAGAAAATAATATGTGAGTTCGGAACTGATAGCGTAAACAAGAATTATAAAATTTCTACATGGAACATGAATTACTGTGGCCTCACTCCAAATGTGCTGAAGGAAATATTCACAAAGTATCTCAGACCCTATTAGCAGCCACTATTGTATTCTGTTGCATGCTGTGTTCTTTTGATAACTATATTAATTATACTACATGGCATATTCATCTTAGGAAAATGAAAGACTGAGGAATAGCACCAGCCTTGCATTTTTGGAAAAAAAATTTAATTACATCCTGTTTTCTCCTAGAACTAAGTCACATAACATTTAGTCAGTGCTTTGAGGTGTTAATGAAAAGTTAAGATTATTTCCTCTTTACCAATACACATATTATTCTGTAGCCGAACGGCTCAGCTTCAGGTTCTTCCTGTCTACCTGTCCCTTGCCCCCATTTTGTATTTCTTTACCTAGAGAATCTGGTAATCCATTCTGAGTTGAGGAATGAATCTCTTGAAAGGAATTTCTCTTTCCATTTCATATCTTACCTTTAAAGTGCTTTTGAGAATTCTCAGCCTGTGTAGTTTTTCATTCATCACAGGATCATTACATCTCTTTATAAATGATAGCTTGTATTCCATCTTGGTTGAAATGCGATGTTCTCCCAGCGGTGACAGACTGGCTTGCTCCAATGCCCTGTATAAATCTTGCAATGAGTCTCCTAACTTTTCTTCCCTACTTTCACCTGTAATGTCCAAAAAAAGAGAAAAATGAATCCAGTGTAATAAAGTTATTTGACACTCCAAAAACCTACTAAAAAAAAAATCAAAACCATCTGAAAACAGGATAATGAAGGACTGGGAAAACAATCTATTACATTAAAACAACAAAAAAAAAAACCCCAAACAAACCCACAGCTGCTAGTTATATTGAGTAAGATTAGCTACAGGCAGCCAATTGTTTTAGAATGGTCAAATAGTAGGATGCTTTAATAAAATATTCTCTGAATAGCAAATCACCGTACATTCCTGAGTCCATTAAGTTCAAAGAATTAGAATACAAAAGGTACACAACACAGACACAATCCTGCACATAATTTAATATTTTAAAACTTTAATGAATATCCCCTATCATTATACTGATAAGCATAGAAGTGCTGATTAATAGAACTCTCCTGATTTAGCAATACTGAACTGCTTTTTACAGTTTTCCAGACTTCATAAGATGAAATGGCATTCATTGGAGTATATTTGATTATAAAAATCTTCCAGTAGTGTGCCATAGAGGATTA